TTTTTTATTGTTTTTTCCCACCTTTTTCATCTTGTTTAATCTCCGTGGTTGTGGTTTTTTTTGGCTTTTCTCTTCCCCCCCCCCCCCCCCCCCCCTTTCCTTTTCTTTTTTCTTTACAGACAACCTCCCCATTCTTTCCATAGTCGCGGGCCGAGATAGTCCTTGTCATCCACCAGCAGCGAAAGCACAGCAGCCGTAAAGGCTTTGGTCGTGCTTCCGGTAAAGAACAACATGTCCGGGGTAACCTCGGAGACTGGCAATCGGGCCGCCGTACCCCTGCGGGGAGAGCGATCGGTCAGTCGAGTGGTTGAAGCCACGTATGGTTGTGCATACCTCGGTCCAAGTGTCGGCCCCGTCGACTACTGCAACTGCCATTCCTGGGACGTGCCATCTATCCAGCGGTTGCTTCACCAGCGCTGCGAACTCTTCATCCAGAGGATTATTCAAATCCTCGGTCTTTGATGCCATGTCGGGTGGTATTTAGAGTGTACTGTGTGAATCACGACTCTCACTCTGCCTTTGAGAATGGCCGTCAGTCACAGACTGAAGTCTAGAGTAGATTTATAATGATTGTCTCGGCTGCTAGTTCGGAATCGACGGGTGTCGCTGGGGCGGCTGGAAAGACTATGATTCATGGACTCTAGGGTGAAGCTTTGTCCCATCTATACGAAGCCGAATAATGGCGCCAGGATGACGACACTGACATCTTTCTCGACCTTGGATCGTGGAGTTACGTCCCGCGACGGGGCGATGGCCACTGATGGTACGAATTATGAGATGGCCTTCACGCGTTTAAAATGTGTCTTCATGCGGGCTGATCTGATATGGTAGGAGAAAATCCCATCGTCGCATGGCTAGGCTCAAACCTGAGAGTGAGGATAGTGACATTGGGATTGCTGACGGCGTGCTGACCGCAAGGGTATCCAGTAAGATCCTTGTCGTATCGCCTAGTAGCAAGCGGCGGACCCAGGCAAACACCCGACGCAAGCGTTGCAATATGGCGAAGCACTTGTCTCGGTGCCAAAAGTCGTGTCTCATCATGAAGCACATCAGAAATTCGACATGCTCAAACTCGTCGCGGTAGCTGACCTCGCGCGCGTTGCCTTTTCGGAAAGACAGCCTATGGGTAAGGCCCTGGGCTACAGCATCGCTGGCGGCCACTAGTTTCCGGTTTGTATGCTTGTAAACCCCGAAAAATCGATCTGCATCTCATGAGATGACACCACCATTCAACTGCCTAGGAGCGAGTAAATGACGAATTCCACTAGGCCAGGATATCTGTCTTCTTTCTGATCCAACGAACAAAGAGCATGCCACACATCCCTTGAAGACTGACTTTTAGCCAATGTCTTGACAGGTTAGCAAAGGCTGAAGTGAATTGATTATGCAAGGTCTACTCGAGTCAGTCCCAGTATGCAGCGGGGACCCATACGTGCGACAATTGGGCCTCTCGATCCTGATCTTCTTTTCACCCCGGCATGTGAATAAGAGACCAAGCGTTTCTTAGTAGCCTGTAAGGCTCCAATTACACCGAAAACCCCGGAATTCCTTGGGTGATTTACCGTCTCCAGAAAGTCATCGAGTTCTTTCTTTCTTAGGTGTGATTGTTACGGAGTGGAATTTTCGTACACTATACAACACTATGGCCCGGGTTCTTTCCTCCACCTCCAAACACAATTAGCGGCGTTAAGAGCAGTGTCAATTCGGTTAAAGATCTCCTCTGGTCCTTCAAACCCGGTGGAGAATCGAATAATGGTCTCTTTAACGCCCCATTTGGCCGCCTTGTCCTTTCCATCCTGCATCGTCATCTGCACGTAGGGGGTGGCAATACTAACGTCAGCTCCGAAGGAGAAGCCCTTGTAAATGTGGAGATTATCAAAGAAGCTGGCGGCCGTCGCGACGTTGGCAAACTCAATGGTGAACAGCCCGCCATATCCCGGGCGAAAGTCTTTCGTTGCGCAGCGCATCTGACGCTCGTAGAGCTTGCGGGAGGGACTAAGAGAAGGGTAGAAGATGCGGGTAATTGGACTGGAGAGGTCTGAGACTAGAGGCGCCAGTTTGTCTATCAGGTATTGTGTCGTTCGGTTGATATTCGCCACGCGATCCAGGAAGTCTCGACTGTTGTACTCTAGTTGGATGGCGTCGTCCACGAACACGTCATTATGGTAGGATGCGGTCATCAGCTCATGAAGCTGGGTCCAATGGGGTGAGTTCGGGTTTAAAATAACACTGTAAGTACATTGGAAGTCAGAATCCCGTTGCCGGTGATGCAGGGGAAAAAGAAAAGGGCACCAACTAACCTTCCAGCCATCACGTCGGCTTTACCACTAAAGAACTTGGACAGTGAAGTAACCAGAATGTCTGCAACCCCAAGCATATCGACATTGGCGAAGCTTCCAACACTATCGTCAACGATCACAACCATGCGATGTTGATCTGCCAGCTGGCGTAACCGGTGAAAATCAACGGTCTGAAGCAAGGGGTTGCTCGGGCATTCACACCATACCGCTTGCAGAGGCCGGCCTTCTTGAGCCAGCACCTCCTGCTGGGCAGCAAGTCGGTCCAAATCTGCCTCTGTCCCTAAGCTGTACGACCTGAGCCCGGGACCCTGCGTTTCCAGGACCTTGAGCGTCGGTCCGTACAGGAGGCCCACATGGGCCGATTCACCCCCCCTCCAACCAAGAAGAAGTTTATGCACCTGATAGATGGCTGCCATCCCCGACTGGTACAAGTACACATCGGAGGAAGCCGTCTTCTTTCTTCTCTGAGGGGGCCTTGCGGCGCGCTCGGCCAAAGCTGCAATCCTGGACCGGATAGTTTCATATATCACCGAGGCATTCGATTCTGGTCTCTCCTCGCAAACCGGGCCAAGAGATACAATTTGTGCATCGCTGAGGTGCTGGAGACAATTTAGCGCCAATCGAGAAGAGATCCCCGGCCCAGCACGCTCCCAAAAGGCGCGTGCAAACTGGGACACTTCGGGATGGCACACAACTGCGTGGATCGAAGGTGGCGAACAATCGCCCTGATGGTCAAGACACCGTGCGTCAAAGTGGATCGAATGCAATTGAATCAAATTGTCGGAATCCGACGATTTCTCATCACGCCTCAGTAGGTGAATTGCGTATTCCCTACATGAGAGGGCGAGGCTCGCGCTGGAGAACAATAACACTAGAAGGTCCTCTGCGCCTCTATGGAGCTTTCCCTTGATCTTAAAACCGAGCTGCGCTCTCATTTCAGTGCTTAGTTCCCAGGCATTCAAGGGCGGAAGAACCTTACGCGACAAACATCAGGGTGAATGATAGATCGGGGATAGCCATGGGTTGCGGCCGCCAGGGCCTGCGGGTTGCGCTGACCAAAATTGACCATGGCGTCCCATGTCGGTATCTGAGCCAACAGCGTATGTTGACGTCCGGGATAGGGATCCCCCATCTGGAGGGCTTGAACGGTATTTTTCGATGAGGCCTCCATAGTTCCTAACAGAATACTTTGAGACTTACCTCTACGGCCCTTTCATGTCGCGCTGGTTAAAGGCATATTGACCGAACAAGCTGTCCCCGGGTAGAATATCCCCTGAATCTAAGCTATTGCTTAAACCGGAAGTGTTTTCTGCAACTCATAAGCAGGGCTGACCGCCGATCATCCCTTGCATGAACGGGTATGGTGTGCCCCGGTCCCCCCGAGCTGAGTTGGAATGAACCGACACACTATTCAGCTGTGTACCCCCGCCAGGGCTGAGGACGGCAAATCCCGCGATCCCGCATTCTTTAACTAGATCCATTAATTCGGCCCTTTCTAGCAAGTGAGGCGGAATTCGAACATGTCTCTGCGCCCTGCAGCGGGCAGAATGGACTATTAGCGGCAGCTTACAAGGGACATAGCCGCTCTTGCAGGGATGCCTGGCTCATTGCATTTGAGGCCATCGCATACTTGGAGGTGCGCCTTCGCGGTTTTTTTTTTTTTTTTCGGCGTGGATCGTTTCCTCTTCAAAGGCATGCATATAATATGCGAATGCTCGACACTGCTAAATCAGTTTACGAAAGAAGCTGCCGATTGTTGATTTCTGTGTTCCCATTTTGCTTCATATTATTCCTTGCTTCCTTTGCTTTTTCGGGTACTGTATCATTCTCTTTCCGCAGAGATTTCAGTGTAATGTGTCATATTTTACTACTTATTTCGCGAAGCAATTGTCTCGTTAATTTGCTTTCTTTCTTTCGTTCCATCACCATCTTCAGTCCTTGAGACTAGCGATATTATCATTATTTATCAGTCATACGTAATGTTTCTTATTAAACTAAAAATCCCATTATCGTACGAACATAAAGACAGTGGTTTTTGATTACCCAGTAGATAGCTAGATTCGAGGAGAGCACTGTTCATACACAACCTGTTGTATGCCCTTTTGTTGGGGGTGCACCTTTTAGGGCTGGGAGGAGCACGGGACCCATCCATCACGACATGATAGCTAGTCGGCTCTGACGCATCGTTAGGCAGACATCGGAAAATGCTCCCAACAATCACAGTAGATCAGCATCCGATCACAAGCCAACAACAACAACAACAACAACAACAACAACAACAACAACAACAACAACAACAATATCATGATTCTGGACGGTGACTCAACGATAGAGTCACCAATTGGATTAAAAGCCCTTCCTCATTTCTCTCGTCATTATTGCCATTATCGTGGCAATGAAGGATAAAGGGATGACTCGACGTCTCTCCTCCCGGGGTGACTCTTTCCCTTCTACACATCTCCCATCGACTACGGTTCTTGCCCCATAACTTCTTTATCTTGCTTTCTGAACACATATAACATTCCAATATCTTTGAAGTCCATTATATATCAAACATAAGGGCAAAGATCACCAACATCACCATCACCAGCGGCATCAGCGCGGCATCAGCGGCATCAGCGACACAGCCACCGCTCACCTCCCATCAAAGCCCGAATCAAACGAAACACAAAAATGGTATGTCATAACGTGCAGGAAAGTGTTCGAAGCGCGTTCTCCTCCTCTTCCATCAGCAAAAACAACACCAGCAACACCACCACCTCCGCCGACGACCTCTCATCAACGTCCGAATCAAACCAAATGGACGAATGGCACCTCGTGACGCGCAGAAAACGATCATGAAGCCTACCCTCCTCATTCACCACCAGCAGCAGCCGCCAGAGCTCCCGTGGCCCATCCCCCAATCGCCACCGGCAACAGAAGAATACAAGCCCCAAATTAGCCAGTCGCAGCCCCAGTCCCTCAAGACGTCTTTTCCATGGAAGCTTAACCATCAAGCCCCGGGAAGCGGCCCTGCAGTACGCCAAAGCAGCGTACGCAACGCAGTTCGAACTCTCCCACCCCTGGCACGTCTTTCGGGCCGACGGGTCGACAGGCGCAGGCGTCGTGTATAGCACAGACGGCCGAATCGAGAACTTCGTGGACCATGCATATGCGGTGCAGGGTATCTGGGAGATTAAGTGCCTTGAAATCTTTGCTGTTGGGGCGGCGTTGCGCATCGCGCTGGATCGGATTGAGGACGACAAAAAGACGAACGGGCACGCGCACACGAACACGGACCGGCATAAGGTGAGCGTCTTCACCGACTCTCATGAGAAACCCGCATTCGAAACATTCGCCCGGGCGAGAATACGCCCTCCTGGCGGTGGATATCTCGAGGAAGCTGGAGGAACTGGGAGTCAGGGTCGAGGTCAACTGGGTCCCTGGGCACACAAACCACGTGGCCCACAAACGAGTGGATCAGATGGCAAAGGTCGGGGCGAAATATGGGGCAAATTTTGCGAAGGGGAGGGTGAGGGCAAGGTCGGCCTCTGGGGGGATTCAGGTGGCGGATTGGGGGTTATTGGAGCTCTTATGAGAAGACCCGCATATGCGGGCATCGAGGAGTGAAGAAGGGGGAAATTGAATTGGTGGGATAGGGTTGATGACGTACCGAGTGTATGAGATCTCTGTAGGGTTTTTCGCGATTTTTCCCTGCAGACTGTTACACCTATATCTATGCTCAGGTGTAACAGATAGAATTATGATCTCATAGGAATGTATTTAGTCTTCGTGGCCCCGGAATAAGTGGGTGCTGAAATGGAGGATAAGGGAATCACACACACTGGATGTGATTGATGATAGACACGGCAAATACTGCCTCCCATGTATGTAGCCTTTCTTGAATGTTTGATTGGAATTGTATTTCTTTCTTCCCCTTACTAGTGAACATTTCATATATTGTGGTATATCCATCAATGCCAAATAAGAACGCCATCGCACCGTTCAACCCGCTGTGCCAGAGTCAAATTCAACAAGAAACCCAGAAATTATCCCCACAATATTAGTGACCAGTAGTGCCACTGCACGTAAACACTACCACGTCCGAGCGTCATATCATCAAGAAGTAAGCAATGAACGAGACAAATTGAACCAGATTACACCCCGTGACGGTAGACCTGTGAGCCTCCCGAGCGAATACGTATGGTATCTCTGCGCTGAAGGACCATGAGTGCCCGGTTTAGGGCTTGTTCACTGTAGCCTCTTCCGTCGACGAACTCGCGACGCAAGGTGGCAAGACTGGTGCTCCATCCGATAGGAAGACGACGCTTCATTTCGTCCTCAACTCGGGTGACTTCTTCCATCATCTCCTTGCTGCCTTGGCCCTCACCTTGGGTGATGGCATCCATGGTCGAGGCCAGGAAAAGACGGATAGCTTCGTCGACATGGGCCTCCGTGGCAATAGGAGACAGGCTCAACTTGGCGAGAGACTCGGTAATACGGACAATGGCCTCGAGTTGACGAACCGTGATAGGGATGGAAGAACGGGTATTGGCGTCGAGCTCGGCACGGTGAACTTGTTTTCTGATGGAGACGAAGTGGGAGGAGAGTTTCTCGGCAGCTTCGGGGGAGAGGCGAGGGGCACATCGGCTGTGGATTGATTAGCATTGTTCTTGTGGGAATCAGAGAGGGTATAGGATTGGGAAGGGACATACGTTCGGCAGTAACTGATGTATCGTTTCATCGTGTCGATGGGAATCTCTGCCTCGACTTGCTCCTCAATACCTCGACCACCCATGTGTACACCCATGACGTGACGCGCGATGCTCTCATCACGACTCCGTTCGTGGTCGTCCCGGACGATGAAGATCATATCGAAACGAGACAGAATCGTTGTCTGAAAATCAATGTTTTCACCGGGTGTTTTCAGGTCGTCGTAGCGGCCGAAGATGGGGTTGGCGGCGGCCAAAACGGACGTTCTCGAGTTGAGAATCGTGGTGATACCAGCCTTTGCGATCGAAATGGTCTGTTGCTCCATAGCTTCGTGGATGGCGACTCGGTCTTCGTCTCTCATTTTGTCGAACTCATCAATACACACGACACCTCCGTCAGCCAGAACCATGGCACCTCCTTCCAAGTAAAATTCGCGGGTTGCTGCGTCTCGCTGCACGGACGCAGTCAAACCAGCCGCCGACGAACCCTTACCAGACGTATAGATGGCAATGGGCGATACCTTTTCTGTGAACTTGAGAAGCTGAGACTTTGCGGTACCGGGGTCTCCGAGAAGTAGGACGTTGATATCTCCACGCAGTTTCATGCCATCAGGGAGAATTTTCTTCGAGCCACCCATGAGTAGACACACAATGGACTTTTTGATGTCCAGGTTTCCGTAGATGGAAGGTGCAATGCTCCGAGCAAGAGCATCGTACAGATCCGGCCGCCGGCTGATCTCCAGAAACTCCTGCTCTTCTTCTTCCGAGAAAATAGCATTGCCCTTCACGGTGTGGTCAAGGTCGGTGCTGATACCAACGGCACGCAGATACGGGTTGCGGATTGCTACTGCAGCATGCTTCTTGCCGCTCTTGGATTGATAGATGGAGAAGATTCCCATGACAGTACAGCGGGAGCCGGGCACGACCCGGTTTGCAAGGTACCGATCCGCAGAGATGAGCACATGTCGTGGCAGCTCACCGACGGGTACCTGATCAGGTGCTTCTTGAAGTTTGAGAACCTGCTGATCGACGAACTGGCATTTGTCATGAGAGACAACGTACGGATCCAGTGGACACTGTTCCTGGATGCCCTCACCAGGCTGTCTCTCTCGTCCACATCTTCTAGGAAGTGAGAGACCGGCAAAGCCTCCCTCGACGGACAGATTATCGCTGTGGTCGCAATTCTTGCAACGGATGTGGACAATCGTGGCTTTGGAGGAAATCGTAGAGGCACCAATCACGATACCAGGAATGCGGACAAGATGAGAGATATTTGTCGCATTCAGGTCCCGAATCGAGATGTGAGTGGCGGAGGAGTGCAGGAGGAGCTGGTGAGTGGGGAGCTGAATGTCTCTTTGCGAGGGGTAGACGATCCTCTGGGTACATTGTTGAAGAGCTGCTTCGAACTGGAAACGAATTTGATGTCAGAACCTAACACCACCACACCTGACCGATACTGCATTCCAAGTACTCACAAGAGGGATGATGTCTGCGGGTTCGGTCGTAAGTTTGTGTGCCAGCTCTTCGTTGTAGGAAATCAAGTGAGCGATGTCAATATCGCAGTAATACTGCTTGACAAGGACGTTCTGCCGTAATTGATCCCTATATATGGGGTGAGTATTGGGTTGGACTCGAATTTGCTAGGCGTTGGGCATACCGGTAGATAAACGCATTATCCAGCTGGAACTCTAAGACGAATTCTCTTAGTCTCGCCTGAATTTGAGTGCGAGATTCCTCGGCGCCATCTGTGCTAGGAGCGAGCACGCTCAGGGTGAAGGGAGTGCGCCTGTCCATGATGGAGACTGCAATGGGGTAGGGGGGATGACGGCGAAGGGATGGAGTGTGGGATGGCTGTCTATTTTTGCCCGCCCAGGGAGAAAGTCGGATCCGAACGACTTTTGCTGGAACACGAACCCGGCGCGTCGCGTGGAGCGGGACGCGTTAAGTGGTTTTGGCCTCAGGCCACGATGTGAGTTTGTATGCCTCAGGTGTTTAGGCCACAACTCGGAAGATTAAAGCGCCGAAATCCCCCCGAGGCACCCCGTGGCCTTGGGGCCTGGCGCCTTACCCGATCGGGGCTGAGCTGTCATGCTCCAAAAGACCATCAATCGGGTAGCTGGTGACGTTGCACTTTATTTCCCCTTCTCTCTTTGTCTCGCTCGCTCTCTCAATTAGACGCCGTCATCCCTGAGCAGTGGGGCCCAAAGCCATTGGTCGATCAGTGCTGCCCCGGCTAGTCTCGAACGAACGTTACAGCTTGTCCTCTTGTCATGTTGAGATAACCGTGTTCCCCAAAATAGCACGGTGGCTGTTGGTGTCGCCAATTTGGCATCAGCGAGATGTCCTCTGTGAGCCCACGGAAGTCGATTGACAGTATAGCCTCGGGCGCCTCGACACCGTCGTTGTCGCAGCAGTCCTTTAACCCACTCGAGTCTCCCCGCGTCCCCTCTCAACGATACCCCCTGAGACGAGGATCGACCGCCAGTTCCGTCGCGAGCATTGGGGGAATTTTGGATTCTTCCCAGCGTCATGGATCGATAGCAGAATCCGGTCAAAATGGTTCGTCACCGGCAATCGATATAGAGATTGAAGCCTTGGGCTTCTGGCTAACCCCCTTCAGCTATCTCTACTCTCCTCCAGCCTCCAATCGTCCGCACCGGCCTGCTCCCCCAAACGGCAGTCGCCTCGTCCGGATACAAACCCCCGAGTTCCCGCGATATTCCCCCGGTTACATTGACGAATATTCCTCGTGTGGACTCCAAGGCGTTCGCTCCGTACCTATCGCAAGTTGGGTCACTGTACGATGTATTTCAACAGGCCAAGGAGGGGTCCGGCGACCAGGACTCGCAGTTGGCGCGTGGAGGCGACAAGGCTTCTCCTAAGCCGGATGAATACGAGTCATTGATTTCGCGATCCCAAGAGCGACGGCCTTCTGGGATTTCCACCGGCTCCCGCGCAAGCTCGCCTTATGACACAAGGGGGAGGAGACGGTCTTCCGCTGGCCGAGGCCGTGGTCACGCCGTCACCCCACTGTCCACAATCCCTCCTGTATATTTCGAAGATGACTTCCACCTTGAAAACCCTCGCACATTTGATGTGGTCTCGGAAAAGTCTGAAGTCGTAACACCACCGAAGACTCCAAGCAAGGATGATAGACCGGATATCCCAATTGTGGCGGAGCCTCCCCGAACTGGAAGAAAGGCACTTGCCACCAATGCGATCCTGCAGGAAAAGCTGTCATGGTATATGGATACTGTGGAAATTCACCTTATTTCGTCTATCTCGACTGCGTCCAAGTCGTTCTTTACCGCTCTAGGATCCCTGCGCGAGCTACATTCAGAGGCTGCTGACTCGGTGAAACGGATTCAAGTTCTACGAAAGGACCTCCAGAAAATCGACCGCGAAATGGCCCTGGGTGGATTGAAAATCGTGAACCTGCGACGACGAAGAGAGAACGTCAGGATGCTTGCCGACGCCGTCTCTCAACTTCGAGATGTGGTCCAGTCTGTGTCCCGCTGTGAAGAATTGGTCGACAACGGGGAGATCGAAGAGGCCGCGGATGGTCTCGAAGAAGTGGAGAGACTAATGTCTGGGGATTTCGTTGTTCATCGTCCCTCTGAAGAAGATGAGACGCGAGAACAACCGAGAAAGGCTATCGATCTGACAAGACTCAAAGCCCTCGAGGGAGCATCTGACGACCTGGCGCAGTTGAGATACCGGATTGGTAGTGGATACGAGACGCGCTTCTTAAGTGATCTTCTTGGCGATTTGAGACAACATGTCGAAAACGCACCATTGGACATGACACTGCAACGTTGGGGTGCTTCCTTCCAGCGACAACGCGGAGCTCAACGATCTGCCGCCACAACCTCTCCGGCGTACATGTCATTTGATGATGAACTGAGATCGAGATTACGTTTACACCTCACTGGGCTTGCGCGTGCACATCACACGACCCCCGCAGCAACCTCTTTCAAGACTGCGGTTCTCCGAGAGATGAAAAGTCTTATTCGGAAGCACATGCCCAGCTCCAGTGACGATGACAACGAATCGATGGTGTCCGTTTCCACCCATAGATCGCAGGGGCTAAGCCAACAAGAAAAGTCTTCTATCCTTGCCCGCAATCTCCGCGCTATGGATGCGGAGGATGCTTATAGCATGGTTGCTCAGATATACACGGGCATCAGCGAGTCGCTACGAAGACTTAGCGTCCAAGTCAAGGTGCTTCTTGATATCGCAAGCGGGCTGGGAAATCCGCCAACCCCTACACTCAAATCTTCACCTCGCAGCCCCGTTCGACGGTCTACGGATAGTTCTGAGAACTTGAAACCCAATCCACGGTTAGAGGCAACAGTGGTCGCACAAGACGAGATTTTGCAAGTTCTGGATATGTCCAGCCTCCTAGGCCAGGCAGTTGACATTGCTCAGTCACAAATAAACAAGGTGCTCAAGGTGCGGTCTGAGCAGACTTCGCAATTGCCCAAGGAAGATTTCCTCAAGTACTTTACTCTCAACCGTCTTTTCGCCGACGAGTGCGAAGCCATCTCTGGGCGAAGCGGCACTGCTTTGAAGACATTGGTTGGTAACCAGATTAAAGACTACATCAAACGGTTTGGTGATACACAGCGCCATCGCATTGTCGAAGTGATGGACGCTGACCGATGGGACGCCAAAGACTTTGGTGATTCCGAAAATGCCGTCCTGGGACGGATCTTGGATGCTAGCACCAAAGATATCGAGGCTTGGGTGGAAGTGTCCAAAATTTGGCAGCCCCCGACCGATGGCCAAGAAAAGTCGGATGCGGCCGCTGTCAATGGCTCTGGAAAGGACAAAGTCAGAAGCGCTGTTATTGATGAACAGAAGTACATTCTCTCAGCATGTGCCATGGCTATGATGAAGAGCATTGAGGAGTTCCAGTTCCTTATGGCAAATATTCCTAGTATGATTCAGGATATCGCCCCTGGCCTTTTAGAGACGTTGAAATTGTTCAACTCCCGGTCCTCCCAACTGATTCTCGGAGCCGGGGCCACTAGAAGCGCTGGTCTGAAGAACATCACCACAAAACATCTCGCCCTGTCTTCGCAAGCCCTGAGTTTCATCATAGCGCTAGTACCGTACATTCGGGAGTTTGTTCGCCGTCACGCCCCAAGCAGCCCGCTGATGGGCGAGTTCGATAAGGTGAAGCGTTTGTACCAAGAGCACCAATCTGGCATTCATGAGAAGTTAGTCGACATCATGAGCGGTCGATCCTCCGTTCATGTTAATGCCATGAAGAAAATCGACTGGAACGCGGTGACCAATGGTAATGCCGTCAGCCCGTACATGGAAACACTGGCCAAAGAAACAGGCACACTGCATCGCGTTTTGAGCAAGCATTTGCCCGACATGACTGTTTCTATGATCATGGATCCCGTTTTCAATAGTTACCGGGAACAGTGGACCAAGGCATTTGAAGAAGTCTCTATCAGCTCGGAAAGTGGAAAACAAAGGTGAAATTTTCACTCGACCAATGTCTGGCTTATGCTAACCTGACTAGATTGCAACGCGATGCGGAATATTTCCAGTCGAAACTCAGCAAAATAGATGGCTTCGGGAACCTGGGCGAGCGTCTGCTTGAATTAGTCAAGCAGAAAAGCATCGTGACAGAGGGGCAGGAATCTCCACCCGACACCGATGCCTCGAAGGGCTCTCCCAAGACCAGTGAAGATACCAAAACTTCTTGAGCTTGATCAGTTTATAATTATCTGCTACATGCAACCAAGTTTACCATGTCGAAGATCTCACCTGCACACTCTATACATTCGTCCTACTTTGACTATTCCCTGCGGTGTTCCCTGGCAACAATGTCCGGTGAACTGTGTACAGTGTTTTTGTTCAATCCCACCGCAACCTACCTCATCCTTTACAATGCGTCGCATCTATTTTTACATTCTATAGAATAATCCAACACCTTGTCTATATCTCCTTTTGACCTCTTCTACATTCCACACAAAAACCACGAAATAATTTTAACTAGTCTTTCAATTCATTATGATAAGCCTCCACATCAAGCGGAAGCCTCAATGCTAATCGACCAATTCTCATAAATATCGTACAAGCATAGACATATCCCATCCAACTCCAATGATAATGCTCATAACACCACGCATTCTAAAGCATGACCGACCCCCTTTTTCGTCTTCTTTCAGGGTTCGGATTCGGGTTCGATTTTAAACGCCCTGCGCACCGACACCCTTGTTCTCTCCAAGCGTGTTGGGGTTGTGTCCGCCCTTGCCGCTACCGTGCTGGGTAGGGCCGGAGGAGCCGCCGCCGCTGGCCAAGCCGTTGGCGTTAACACCCTCGACGGGGAGATCGGCGACCTTGTGGGTGCGGTTGAGGTCGGCGTTCTAACGTAGAGTGTTAGCTTGGGGTTCTTGGATCATGATGTCTAGGCACGAGGGGGATCGAGTAGGGAAGACATACGTCGTTTCCGGCACCGTGGACCTTAGTCTGGCCGGCCTCAATAGCGTTGTCGCTCTGAGGGACACCGTTGTCGTAATCAGCTCCGCGAGGCATGATGATTTGATATGAGGTAGATGAGGTAGTTTAGAGGATAAGGAACAGAGAGGTTGTTTGTTTGATCGTGAAGGAGGATTGTAATGATTGATTATTCCAAGTTGTTAAGGTCCCTGGAAAGCTTTCTTTATAACCCCCTTCCTTTTCTCGTGATGATGGCATCGACTTGTTCGCTTTCCTGGTTCTGGTTCTGTAAGTGGAATGACTGACAACATTGTGAAGTCATTGTGGAGACGCCGCAGGAGAGATGACTTCATTCGGTCAGGGAATTTGATCGGGGCTTTTAGTGTCGATCGCGGTTGTTTGAGATGGAGAGATCGAGAAGGGGGCTTGTGTTTCGGTACTCAGTACGTAAAAGATGGGGTTGATCCAGCGTAATGAGATCGAGTGTTGAGTTGATGGTATCCCAGGAGGAGTGTCCGGTGCTGAGTGGGACTGGCTAGAAAGCCTAGACTCAGGCCAGCAGGACGGTCAAATCGGTCAAACAGTGCAAACAACACAAACGCCGCTCTATCCGACCGTCGGAGGAGCTCAAGCCCGTTTGCATGCTTTGACATTCTATCAAACTCGCAGATGCTCGTTGAGGGTGCAGATCGAAATGTTTGATTTCTTTTCTTCTCGGCCGGTCGCGTTGTCTTTAAAAAGGGGATGCCATGACAGGTCTTCAGCGAAGCATTTGGATATATTTTGGCGCAACGTGAAGTTCAATTCCAGTATTTTGGCAACAAATATATATTCTTTGCAAGGAGTCACCCTTTTCACGAATAAACCCACTACTATCTTCAACAACAATCACCATGAACGCCGTGGTCATTCACACTCCTGGCCCCCCTAATGTCCTGCAGGTCATACAACGTCCCATCCCGCAGCCGACACCGGGCCAGGTGCGGATCAAAGTGAAAGCCTTCGGACTGAATCGGTCCGAAATGTTCACCCGACAGGGCCACTCGCCCGTGCAGTTTCCTCGCATTCTCGGCATCGAAGCGGTAGGGGTGATAGACGCCGTAAGCCCCGGCCTGAAGCGACAATTCCCACTGGGAAGCCCCGTCGCCACCGCAATGGGTGGAATGGGTCGAGCCTACGATGGCGGATACGCAGAGTATACGTGCGTGCCGGCGAAACAGGTGCAGATCGTCAAGAGCAGCTTGCCGTGGGATGTGCTCGGTGCGCTGCCGGAGATGCTGCAGACGGCGTGGGGCGCGCTGATGAGATCGCTGTCACTTAGGGCCGGCGATCGGGTGCTGATTCGCGGGGGCACGACCTCTGTTGGGCTGGCGGCGGCGGTGATCGCGAAGACGCATGGGGCGTTTGTGGCGTCGACGACGCGGAAGGGGGAGCGTGCGGCGTTGCTGCGGGAGTATGGTGTCGACGAGGTCTGGGTGGATGATGGCGCGCTTGCGGCGCAGATTGCTCGAGCGGATGGCGCGCAGTTCGATAAGGTGCTGGAGCTGGTGGGCACGGTGACGCTGGCTGATTCGCTGCGCTGCGTGAAGAAAGGGGGCACGGTCTCGGTCACGGGCATCGTGGGCAATCAGTGGTACCTGGAGAAAGTTAATCCGATGGAGCTGATCCCGTCGGAAACGAAATTGACGGTGTATAGTGGCTCGGATGAGGATTTCATGGCGACTCCGTTGAATGAGCTGGTGAAGATGGTCGAGGACGGGAGGTTGAAGGTGCGAGTTGGTCGCGTGTTTCGGATGGAGGAGATTGTCGACGCGCACGAATGTATGGAGAGGGACGAGGGCCAGGGAAAGCTTGTGGTATTACCATGATCAAGGTTGTCCAGTGGGAAAACAGAAATACAATTGCTCATTCTATGTGGTACATTCTATTCAGTCAAGCATAAACCACCCGAAACGCCATGAACGCCGCAAACACCCCAAAGGCATCGATCAATATATGTCAACAGTCTAGATGCTCTTGAGCCCCATGACCATAGGCTCATCTCATATTGCTTTAGAGATTTCGCCTCCTAGCCTGTGCAACATATCCTGTTTCTAAGGAGCGCCCCAAGGTATCCAAGCCCGAGTCCCTATTCCGGAAGAGGTTTACTAGCCACCAAGACATTCCAGGCTCTGGCTCTGGCGCGGGCCCATGTTCAGGGTCAGACCGAGATTCGTGCTCAGGCTCAGGTTCATGCCCAGGTTCAGGTTCGGAATCAGAACTAGGAGGATCCGGGTTTGTCACAAAAGCAGGACGATCGGGCCGCGAATGATAATATTCAACATATACTACGGAGACAGGCGCGGTGGGGGATTCTCTAGATAATGAAGAGGGACTACGAGGAGGAGAGATCGAAATCCGGGAAGGAGGGGGGGTAGGAGGCCTGTGTATAATTCGCGATGCTGCATTCTTAAAACCTTTCCACAGTCTTTTCACCGACCGTTTAAGCCGAGCGCCGGAGCTTCGGGAGAGTTCTTTGACATGACGGAACGGTTTGGTAAAGCCCATTCTAGATATGGGACACTCTCGGCAGCCAGCAAAGGTGCGAGTTGTTTGGAACCATGACTACGGGGGACTCGTGGGCTTATTTATCTTTCAGTTTGAACGCTAATCGCATTATGCCCGAAACGAGGGTTTCGAAGAACAATGGCACTGTGAACGACAAAGGGTAGAGTTTTGTGGCTGGGGGTTTGTTTCAATGCTCCTCGATAGACAATGGGAAGACTTGAGGGTTCGAGTGTGCCTAAAGGAGATGCTCGATGCTTAATTGCTTCGCTGGGATTCAATTGACCAATATCCGATAAGTCTGTTGAGCCTAGTCGGTCAAGGTAGGCACTTGAGGTGGTTGAGGAACCAATGTCAAGATTTGTGAACTTCCTAGAAAGTGATCAGAAGCCGCAACAAGGCATAAAAGACGCCCTACCAAACCCCATGTACATCGACCACAACCCTTGACGTATTTTCCCGAGAATACTTTATCAAGCTGCGTCCGAGAATTTGTGAGTCCACTCCTAGTCTACTGGCCTTATTGCATTTAGTTAAGCTCGTGTCAAAAGTGCAAATCTTCCGATAAGTGCATCAGTATTAGGACCTTAGACTTAAAACGGCCAGGGTTCCACTTGGAGCTGCATGCCAGATTGCGTATACCGGAGGCGCCTGAATGAAGTTTGTGTAAAATTGGATACTTGAAATGGTAGCTTCGGCCTCGATGGCACTACACGTAAAAGCCATTCCAGTGTCATTTGGCGTTGGTGATAAGTCAATAAATTGACCATGACGTAATGACCGATTAGATTTCCCCGGATCCACTGCTTCGTCGTGCGGAGTTGACCTCGAGAGCCAAGCACCGGACGGTCTTGAAGCTCCAATCCTTTCCCTCTTTTATGTCAAGGATGGGAGGATCTCGTATCTTCTTGGATGGTGGAGAAACCTTGCAAAGCCGTCTGTTTCGCTCGACGAACGTGAGTGGCACTATCACACGGAAGGGGCGCCTTCAACGCGACACTTTCATCATCGGGGCGAAGATAGAAGGGGGCGATCCTTGTCAAAGCTTCAGTTGGACCTCTAGGAAAATTAGCAACTGGTCGGATGATCCTGCAATGAATTAAAGCGACCAGGGTGGTCATTTGCTAACCTGCTAGACTGGCTTTGCAGTAGCAGCGAGTCCGTGCAACAGCCCATTCATCTCCCCCCCTCTCCCTTCCCTCGCCCTGTTTCTCTTTAATTTCTTCCTCCCTTCTTTTTTGTTTGTTTGCTGTTCCCACCTGCCTCTTCTCTTCTCTTGCTTCCTGTGTTTTCGTGGTTGAAATTCCTCAGAACTGACAATTGTGTGGAGTTGTGTCTGGGACCAAAGTGCAAGGGTCTGGAATCAAGGAAGACAGACCTCCCCCTGTTCCCCCGCCACCCGCATTCGGCCTTCCCCCGCACGCTTTCATAACAAAGAGCTACCTTGGGTGAGCTCCCTCTCCCTCCCACTCCTCGCCCCATTTTATTCCCTCTCCCTCATAGCCATGATTATTTTCAGACTCTGATTTACCAGAACCCGGCCCTCGTTCAGCCCTTGCTACCGGTGATTTCTCGAGGGAAGTTTCGTTGCTAGCTCGATAGCTCTTGTAACGGTCGCCATGGCCAGTGCACCTGAGGAGAACGGCAGCGAGCCGATCAAGCGAGATGTTCGCAACCATATGCTCTTTGAGGTGGCCACCGAAGTCGCCAACCGGGTGGGAGGAATCTACTCCGTCCTCAAGTCCAAAGCCCCGGTGACAACGGCGGAATATGGCGAGCGCTACACCTTGATCGGACCTTTGAATCGAGCCTCAGCGACTGTGGAGGTTGAGCAATTGTCCCCCTCCAATCCTCACATGGTGGAAACCATCAAGTCCATGAAGGAACGCGGTATTGATCTGGTCTACGGTCGTTGGCTGATTGAAGGGGCACCGCGCGTGCTTCTCATCGATACGAGTACTGGGTACAAGTACCTTGACGAATGGAAAGGGGATTTATGGAATACTGCGGGCATTCCATCGCCCTCGACCGATACGGAGACAAATGAAGCCATTGTCTTTGGATACTTAGTGGCATGGTTCTTGGGTGAGGTGCGTCGGCTTCTTTGCTCTTCCTGAGCTTCCTGTGTGTTCGATTGACCATCGCTGACCGATGGAGAATTAGTTTATCGCCCACGAACGACGCCGTGCTGTTGTCGCTCATTTCCATGAGTGGCTTGCCGGCGTTGCCCTCCCTCTGACCAAGAAGCGACACATGGACCTGACGACTATCTTCACCACCCATGCGACGCTTCTTGGGCGGTACCTCTGCGCGGGCTCTGTGGATTTCTACAACAACCTTCATCATTTTGATGTGGATGCGGAGGCCGGTAAACGTGGAATCTACCACCGATACTGCATCGAACGAGCGGCTGCCCACACGGCAGACGTCTTTACCACGGTCTCTCACATCACTGCCTTCGAGAGTGAGCATCTGCTCAAGCGTAAACCAGACGGTGTTCTGCCCAACGGATTGAACGTCAAGAAATTCTCGGCGGTTCATGAGTTCCAGAACCTCCACTCGCAGTCCAAGGAGAAGATCAATGATTTCGTCCGCGGTCACTTCTATGGCCACAATGATTTCGATCTGGACAACACCCTCTACGTCTTTACCTCGGGAAGATACGAATTCCGCAACAAGGGCGTTGACATGTTCATCGAAGGCCTGGCGCGTCTAAACCACCGCCTGAAGGCCAGCGGATCGAAGACAACCGTCGTCGCATTCATTATTATGCCTGCGCAAACCACCTCGCTCACCGTTGAGGCGCTGAAGGGACAGGCCGTTGTGAAGTCATTGCATGACACGATTGAGATGATCGAACAAGGCATTGGGCGACGCATGTACGAGCGCTGTTTGGCTTGGAAAGAGGGTGATAATATGCCTGACGAGAAGGACTTGATGGCTAGCCAAGATCGGGTCCTCTTGCGCCGTCGCCTGTTTGCCATGAAGCGGCATGGGCTGCCTCCGATTGTCACCCACAATATGCATAATGACCACGAGGATCCGATCTTGAACCAGATCCGCCGAGTCCAGCTTTTCAACCATTCGTCAGATCGCGTCAAGGTTATTTTCCACCCCGAGTTCCTCAACGCTTCCAACCCCGTGCTGCCATTGGACTACGATGACTTCGTCCGCGGAACGCATCTAGGCGTGTTCCCGTCCTACTATGAACCCTGGGGATATACGCCAGCGGAGTGCACAGTGATGGGAGTCCCTAGTATCACCACCAACCTGTCAGGATTTGGCTGTTACATGGAGGAATTGATCGAAAACTCGTCCGATTACGGCATCTACATCGTGGACCGCCGGATGAAGGGCGTTGACGATTCGGTGAACCAACTTACCGAGTTCATGTACAATTTCACTGAGAAGAGTCGCCGACAGCGGATCAATCAAAGGAACCGGACTGAGCGACTAAGCGATCTGTTGGACTGGAAGCGCATGGGATTGGAATATGTCAAGGCTCGGCAGTTGGCTCTGCGAAGAGGTAATGTTCCAATTGACGACCTAAATGTGAAAGTGGTATTTTTTGACTCGTTTGCTAACTCCTTATAGCCTATCCGTCCTCATTTGGTAGCACCGAAGATTTCTTTGATATCATCGGGGGAACTGAGCAGAAGTTGTCGCGGCCGCTGTCCGTTCCTGGCTCGCCTAAGGATCGTTCGGGAGTGATGACCCCCGGAGACTTCGCATCGCTTCAGGAGATCAAAGAGGGATTGAGTACTGAGGACTATATCCCCTGGAAGCTCCCGTGAGTATCACCACCATCATAGTCTATAAAGAACTTTCACTAATAAGCCCTCGCTGATCTAGTACAACCGAGGATGAAGAGCCTGACGAGCCTTTTTTCCCGCTCACCCTGCGCACCAAGAAAGCCAGCGACCGACCGTCGTCGCCGCTCGACCGGATATCGGTAAACGGTGACACTTGATCAGCCTCGTGTATATGAAAGAGATGGGACAAAGTAGGCTCTATCGCCATCCACCCTCTTGAGGTCCCGTGTGATGAAGGACAGCTCGCGATACTGTATAGCTGCTGTTGCCATCCATTGACCTTTCTCGTCCCTCGCCCGTTGTGACTTGTTATGTTGATATTGCAATATTTTTTGGAGAGAGATCGAACCTGTTAAACGAAGCATCCACCTATCATCATCTGCGCGCTTCTTTATTTGTCTAGATTTGTTAGTCTGCATTTATTTATAGCTTTGTCATAATTGATGTTGATTTATCCTTGCTAATAGCCTTCTCTCCACTAGCTGGTATGACTTCCATTTGCTTTTGATTGGTGTCTTGAGGGATTATCGCTCAGGACCATTTGGTAGTACCACAGATATGACGTCATCTTGTTTTGACAACGTGAAGTCAAACACAGAGACAAAGCAAAGTTGTCCACCGTGGCAGAATGCTCTGGCCGGGACAGTCATCCACGCCAAGTAGGATTGTCTGTTGCTTCGGACTAGAGAAGTCCTAGTCGCATTGGAGGAGGAACAGGGTCCAGCCCACCGTCGTAATCGAGAGCGGGTCTCGGGGCGGGGAGACACGGTGATTTAAGTGCAAGACCGGATAGAGTTAACATTCACGATAGGCGGACTGGGTGCGATACCGGCGAGACAGCAGTCGGCGACGGCGTTGATCAAATCATCAGAATTGATGTTAATAAGGAGAATTGTTGAGGCCGAAGGTGGGGTTGCTCGACCTCCTTCTGGTAAAGTCCCACGTGGCCCCGTGACTCTTCCTGGCTATTTATTGCTGCCCCTCTTCTGCTTCCTCCTTCCTCCTCTTTCCCTTCCATCGTCTAAACATTTGCTTTATTATCCAATTCCATCTACCTTCTTCGATCTTCGCTACTTCGCTCGGTACGGCTCACCAGCTGCGCAGCCAGGACCCGCCTCTGGGCCTGGGTCTTTTCGCCATGGGTTTTCACAGATCAAGGTATCGTACAATGTATACAACAATCTCTGCTTGCGTATGACAGGTGTTCGGCTGGAATATGCTTCTATCACTCGGTCGTTCTGAGGTCTTGGACATGAAATGCCCACAAACCTAGTTCTGAGAGCGTTTCATGACAAACCCAATGGCCGACCGATGTGTGGAAGTATAGACCGGTCGTTCTGAGATTATACTGTCACAACTTGATCTAGATAATACTAGCGAAAGGACATGCGTCGCATTGATTGTCTCCCTTTCCCTTTTGTCTCCCAGAGATGAGAGGGCTCCTCGGTCTCTGCTGCTAACAATTCCCAGTCTTTTGACTTGATTCTGTGCCAAGATGTCTACTGACAAGATTACCTTTCTCACCAACTGGTATGAGTGTGCCATTGGTGTTTTCTTTTCTTCTTTCCCTCTTTCCCTTCCCCTGTAGTTCTCTTTTGCCGAATTATCTTCTATCGTTGTACATCTGAACAATTACTAAGTGCTTGTCAAGGCACGCGACGCCCTACCATGCCCCGCTCTATCTTGCCCAGAGCAAGGGATTCTTCAAAGAGGAAGACCTGAAGGTTGCTCTGCTGGAGCCCAACGACCCTTCCGATGTTACCGAGATCATCGGTAGTGGCAAGGTCGACATGGGTTTCAAAGCCATGATCCATACCCTTGCTGTACGTGCCTTTCCAAGCAGCCAGATGAACTGGGGATCTAATGCCATGACAGGCCAAAGCTCGGAACTTCCCCGTCACCTCGATTGGTTCCCTCCTCGACGAGCCGTTCACTGGCGTTGTCTACCTCAAGGACAGCGGAATCACCGAGGACTTCCGCTCCTTGAAGGGGAAGAAGATCGGCTATGTCGGCGAGTTTGGCAAGGTTAGCATTTCTACCAACTAGTCATAGACCGTTCACCTAACCATTCTTAGATCCAAATTGACGAGCTTACCAAATACTACGGCATGACTGCCGAAGACTACACTGCTGTCCGCTGCGGTATGAACGTCACCAAGGCCATCATCCGCGGCGACATCGATGCAGGCATCGGACTTGAGAACGTGCAGATGGTCGAGTTGGCCGAGTGGCTGGCCTCTCAGAACCGTCCTCGGGACGACGTCCAGATGCTCCGTATTGACCAGCTGGCCGAACTGGGATGTTGCTGTTTCTGCTCCATTCTGTACATCGCCAACGACCCCTTCCTGGCGGCCAACCCCGAGAAAGTGCAGAAGTTCATGCGGGCCGTGAAGCGTGCTACCGAGTACGTCCTCGCCGAGCCTTCCAAGGCCTACGAAGAATACGTCGACATCAAGCCTATCATGGGCACCCCCGTCAACCGCAAGATCTTCGAGCGCTCATTCGCCTACTTCAGTCGTGACCTGAAGAACGTGTCTCGCGACTGGGCCAAGGTGACCAACTACGGCAAGCGTCTGGGCATTTTGGACCCCAGCTTTGCGCCCAACTACACCAACGAGTACCTGTCCTGGAAACTGGACGGGGACTCCTCGGACCCTCTGGGTGACCAGAAGCGCATGGCCGAACTGCAGAAGCAGGTTGCTTCCGAGGGAGGCTACAAGCGCCTGGAAGTCGCTTCGTCGGCCTAATGGGTCGCTCTTCTGAGATGATGCGATTCTTACGTTGATGCTGTCAAAATGGCAGAAATTCACAATATCTACGCTCGTTAGGAAATGAAATGATTGATTCGAGTAAACACCTTTGTCTTTGGTATAACTGCAGCTCGTAAATGCAAATGCCGCTCAATCAACAGCGCATACCCTTAGTCCTCTAAGTGACAAGAGAACCCGTAGGAATAAAAATTATAATACAACACTAACTAACGTACACACCACCCACCAACAACCTCATCCATCACCCATCCACAAACCGATCCCTCCCCGCCACGCCCTCATACGACGCAAGCCTCGGATTCCCCAACAACGAGAACTCAATCCCATCACTAAGCTCCCCATCACTCAGATCCTCCTCGTCCCCATTAAACCCATCATTATCGACCGGAATCCAATTCCCTCTTTCCCGATCTCTCTTGGCAGACTCATACCCCTCCCTATCCCTTTCCAAACACCGTCCAACAATCCCACCGACCCAACTCATCCCGGGCACTTTACTCACCGTATCCCCAAAAAACCGCTGCACCACAAGCACCAACACCAGAAGCAAAACCGCCGACACAAACCCAACCACCCAGAACACGAACGACCGCATCGCCGGCGTCAATACCACACCGCTCTCTTCAACCCCATACGTCACACCCGCTTCGTTGCTGGCCGGATCCCAGGCCACGAGCAGCGTCGTGCCTAGTACGTGGCCTGTCGCGTTGAGGGCGACGACCCTGAGGGCTTGTTTTTCCATGTGCAGCGGGATCGGTATGATGGTTTCGAAACCCGATTTTGGCACCGCAGCGAGGAAGTTGAAGGCGGATGAGGTGAGCGATTCGTTCGGGTTGGTGGATTCGGAGTCCGCGGCGCTGATGGCTAGATTGAGGGCTTTGATGTCGATTTCTTCCTCCTTGTCATCTTCGTTGTCGTCATCATCATCGGAAGATGAGGAGGGCGACAAGCCCTGTAACACCCACGTCGCGACCTCCGTCGCGCCATTCCAACTCACCGCCGCTTCGTAGGCATACACGGCCAGATCGGGTCGCGTTAGCGGCATCCCGACCCAGGGATGTTTGAAGACGCGGTACGAGATGACCTCGCCGTGACCGAACCCGATCTCGGGGCCGAAGTGCACGTGGCAGAGCACGTCGCCGTGGATATTGTATTCTGTCCACGCGGCGTTGAAGCCGTAGCCGAGGAGTACGTTTCCTGAGTCTAAGATTTGTACGGACCCTTGCGATTGACTGCTGATTGGGTGAGGGTTCCAGTATTCGTGGCGGATAGATACTGTCATGGACACGGTGTCGAGGTCCAGGTAGAGGCCGCGGCTGGTGAGAGTTGGGGCGCCGAAGCCGCGCGAGGCGTTGTCGAAGACAGTAAGGGAGGTGGTAGTGTTACTGTTGGGTGTGATGGTGGTGGAGTTGGATTTGGAATGGGTGGGTTGAAACCGCGCATGATGCTGCCAGGTGATGTTGGTAGCCGATTGGGAGGGCGAGAGATCCGTAAAGGAGTTATTGGCGCCGCCGAGACGCCAAAGGACAGAGCCCGACTGGCCATCGATATAGGCGAGACAGTTTGCGTAGCGGGAGGAGATGAGGAAGTTGCCCACTTCGTCCTTGTCGATGCTGTTGATGTGAAAGAAGTCCCAGGGCCGGGACTCCGACTCGCCATTGCCTTCGCGGCCACGGAACATCTCCGCGAAGGAGAAGTGGTCGGAGGCACTCCATTGGAAGAGTAGCTCGCCGGTCTCGATGTCGACTTCTTGGAACGTGCCGTCGTAGATCCACCCGTCTTGGGGACCGTCTTCGACGGAACGCAGGTCGGCTGACCGTTTTTCGTAGATGGTGAAGACGGCCGTCTCGTTCTGCGTGATGTGGAATTCATGTAGGTCTGCAGGTAGGCCGTTGGCGCCGCGGATCTTGTACGCTTCTTGGTAGTTGGAGTCGAGCTGCGGAAGTACAGTTAACATTCTGTAGCCCTTTAAGATGTCTGATGAGAGATGTCTGGGTGCAAGCTGCCAGGCCATTTGCCGTTTGCCGGCCATGGCACTGTACGTAACGACACCGTGGAAGATCTCTGTTCATCTTACCACCATCAATCATTCATTTGTAGTGATTAAGGCATCCGTTCCATGCATTCAATCGTCATTTTCGATCACTGCAACGAACACCTGGCACCTTGCACATCCAGACATTCTCCATCTGTGAAGCTAAAATATCAGCAAAACTCACCATATAATAAGTTCCATCCCCATGCCCCGTAATCCCATCATTCCCCGTCCAGAAGGTCAAATAATCCTGGCCCCGATAGCGGTAGACGTTCAGATTATACGTCTTCCCGTAATCCTTCGTCCAGACGAGATGGCCATCCTGGTCAACGATCATCGGTCCCGGGGTCGCGACGCCGTCACCGCGCGGCGAAATCAGCGTGAACTGCCCATCCTTGCATTGCGTGCTGGACTCCAGATAGTTGAGCGTCGGCCCGATGATAGGCGTAGATCGATACGTCTCTGTCGGCCAGGCGCCGAATTTCCCTTCATCGTAGTCCCCGGATTGGTGGTAGGGGCCGTAGTCTGCTTGTACAAGACTGCATACACCGAGTAGAGTGGATGTTAGAGTCGTTGCGAGTCGACCGCCGCGCATTGTCAACGGGGGACGGGGCCGTATCGCTACCGTACTGCCTAATGAAGCTAGTGTTTATACCGTGGTGACTTATAATCACAAATAACATAAACCACTAGCCCCAAAGGAATACTCGGAATCGGAGAGGAATAAAAATCTGATCGGTTTTCAGAAATACGAATATTCCCAGTCCGCTGTCATTGAGGCAAGGGGAGAAAAGGGAAAACAAAATGGTTCGTGCGCCGCTGATTTTCATATTGTCGGGATAGACGCGCGGAGGAGGCCCACCTTTGGGACCCGTCCAGCTGCCAGCGTTCGGTTGTCATTTTTGATCATTGTCGACAACTTCAACTCTTCCACATCCTGTTTTTCGTTCTTCGCATGGTGGAGGAAGCAAGACTTGGCACTTGGCAGTAGCCCTGGGGGTGAGTGGGGAATTGATGCAGCCCAGAACAATCGGTGGTAAGGCTAGATAGGCATCGACGTTTTGTATGCGAAGACTGGCGGATTGTTGGCGGAACCGTAGAGCGGAGGGTGTAGACCGAGAGGCTAGTGCTTGGTGGAAGGTCGGGTACAGCGGGAAGAGCTGAAAGGTCCACCTTGGAGCTGGTCAATCCTAGATAATAATGGATTGTTGAATGTTGATAGGTGAACGGGTGAAGTAGAAGGCACTCGTAACCGTCCGAAAAGGCCGGATCCATCGAAGAGAATTGATTGGTCGAACAGAAAGGTCCACCGACTATTTACTATCGTCTTGGCGTCTTGGGGACTGATATGAAGCTGCCCCTTTATGGAGTAAATTGGGGGGAATATGAGCCTTGTAGAGTGCAAGTGCTGAGAGGTGAAAAGGGGCTCGTAGACCCTACTTGACAGCTGCCAGAGCAGCCAGACGACGTTGCAATGTAGGGCTTCACCGAGAGCGTGACAACCCAGTTGGGATAAGCGCCCTTTCAATATATATCTCCGGCCTTTCGCTTTCCATTCTTCTTCCACTCTCTGTCTCTGTCTCTTCACGTACTTTTCGTTCAATCTTCTCTATGAGCTTCTGTAAACAATAGTGCATCACTGTACATCATATTTATGAGAAATGCCAATTCAGTGCCCATCTGGCTATCTGAGGTGTGTCGCGTTTGCCAGACACTACCCTCTGGATCCCACTACCCCAGTGCTTGATGTCACCAACACTTTAAATCTATTTTCTTTTTCGGCAAAGGTCTTTCCGAGACTCATGCGGAGAACACTAAGAGATGTAATTTCTATCTGGTTGGGCATCCGATATGGAAGTGATCATCGTTGTGAAATGGTGATTCGTGGGATTTCACTGTTGAAATGCATCAGTTTGCGGGGCAATCCATCCTACCCAAAGTATGAAGGACAGCCTACGATGTGATTCTTTCAGTACTATGTCCGGTTCACAGTCACTCTGCAAAGAGATGCACCATTGCAATGCATCCATTCTCCGCCTGGCTTAAGTTATGGTTCTTTTCTTCCCTTCTAGGCATCCATACAGGCATACTCCGGAGCTGAGACAAACGCACAGGTCAAGCACACCCTAGACGAAACAACGTACTACACAGACATACAATGGAGCAGCCACAACACAACAATTACCCGGACGAAGAACACGCACCGCTATATCCTCCAGCCCCCCAAAACCAACAATTCGGATTTCGAACTCACTGCCAGGTTCTCCACCACCAAGCACAACCAATCCTCACACCCATCTTCAAGCACCAACACCATCACGTCGCGCTGCAAGCACTGGTGGAAAGCATACTGGGAAACCGGCGCCTTCCTAGACCTGACATCCACGCCGCATCATCCTCTCCCAGTACCTCGTTGCCGTCAACGGTGCCGGAAACGACCCGCCCCAGGAATCCGGCCTCGTCAACAACGGCTGGTACGGCAAATTCCATCTACAGATGTACCTCTGGCACTCAGCGCACTGGATCCCCTGGGGTAAACAGCACCTCCTCGACCGTAGTATCGGCGTCTACGAACGGTTTCTAGCATCCTCGCAAGCCAGAGCCCAGAAGCAGGGCTACGACGCCGCTCGATGAGGTAAAATGAGTGACCCGAATGGGAGGTCTGCGCCAGGGGAGATCAATTCTCTCCTGATATGGCAGCAACCGCATGTATTCTACTTTGCGGAGTTGGAGTATCGGTCTGCTGCAGCGGGGAGCTTAAAGGCGCGAGATGCGATGCGGGTTTTTACGAAGTGGGATGCACTTCTGACTCAGTCGGCTGATTTCATGGTTTATTTCGCATTCTGGAACTCGTCGACCGGGTTTTATGATCTAGGTCCGCCTATGTATCCGGTCTCGGAGAATACACCGCCGAACAGCACCCGCAGTCCGACGTTCGAGCTGACCTATTGGTATTTTGGGATCGACGTGGCGATCCGCTGGAAAGAGAGGTTAGGACAATCTGTCCCGAATAGGTGGGAGCATGTCCTCGAGAACCTGGCGCCGTTGCCTACAGTGGAAGTAATCACCCTGTCTGGGAAGGAAGATATCACGTATACATTGTATGAAGGCATTCCTGATATGTGGACTGATCCTGAAACGGTAACGGATCACCCGGCACTTACGGGGATCTACGGGTTACTGCCTCCTCTTGCGGTGGTGAACAGGACCATTGCCGCGGCCACCGCGGCGCAAGTCGCGCGGACATGGAATTTCACGGATTGTTGGGGGTGGGATTTTCCTATGCTGGCCATAAATGCGGCTCGATTAGGCAATGTCGAGGCTGCGGCGAGGTACCTGGTTCATCCGAATTTTCAGTTTGGCGATGTCGGCATGCCGGTTGGGCCGATGCGCAATGTGCCCACGCCGTATTCCCCTAGTAGTGCGGGACTATTACTCGCCGCGGGAATGCTGGCGGGAGGTTGGGAGAAAGCGAATGACACAATCTTGCAGAGAATCCCTGGCTTTCCGGTCGAATGGAATGCCTTGGCTGAGGGATTCTTGCCGATGTTTTGAATTGTAAGGACTGCCAGAGGTATGGCCCTGCAGGCCTGTAAGTGAGGGGGAATTAGATCAGAGCGCAACAGATTATCGTGAGAAACCGTGAATTGCATACGTGCAAAGCGTGCCGTAAAGTCTAGGCTATTCTATGGCATAGGTGGTGAATGGCCAACATAGATTTCGGCAGCGGGATTCAAAAACCCAAGATATAGTACTCAAGAATAAAATAGAAGGGGTATGTACGGTATGATTTTGCGAGCACACAGTTGTAGGGGTGACAACCTCAAAACAGAATTAAATCAAATCGAAAGCGTTTATTTGGAGCGCTTGTAGATCTTGGACACGAACGTCTCAAAGACCTCCTTCTTCAGGCCTTCCGACTCGTCGACAGTAGCAATCTTGGTGCGCAGCTCATCAACGGTCTTCTCCTCGTACTCCCGGTACACCTGCTCCAAGTCAAGATCCTTGTAGATCTGCTTGACCTTGGCCTCCAGCTCGCTGTTTTTGCGACCGTAGGCCTCGTCGAGGGTCTTACGCTGCTCCTCGTTGCAGCGCTTCAAAGCCTGGTTGACCAACCACGAGCACTTGTTGTCCTGGATATCCGTTCCAATCTTGCCAATGAAGGCGGGGTCGCCGTAGGCGTCCAGGTAGTCGTCCTGGACCTGGAAGTACTGACCCAAGGGGATGAGGATGTCATGGGCCTGACGGAGGTTCTCAGGGGTGGCGAGCTGGAGGTAGTGCAGGGCCAGCGCGATGGGGAGGTAGAAGCTGTAGTAAGCGGTCTTGTAGGTGACGATGAACATGTACTTGTCCAGGGAGAAGTTGTCGAGGTTGACGTTGTCCTCGGGGGCGGTGATGAGATCGCACAGCTGCCCCAGCTCTGTCTGCCAGGTGGTCTCCTGGAAGAGTTCGACCAGGTCGATGTAGGAGGGGTGCGAGCGGAAATGCTTGCGCAGGATCACATAAATGGAGGATTCCAGCATGAACGCATCGTTGATCGCGACCAGGCCGACGCCCTGCTGGCGGTACCAGCAGGGCTGGCCGCGGCGGGTGATCGACCCGTCCATAATGTCGTCGCTGACCAGGAAGAAGGCCTGGAGGAGCTCGGTGAGCCAGCCCAGGGTGCTGAGGTGCTTGAACTGCTCGTCGGTCAGGGGCTTGTTCAGGAGAGCGAGACCGGTGTCGGGGACGGAAAGTCCACGGTTTAGCTTGCCACCGGGGACGTTGACGTTGAGGGCCTGGTCACATTACGGAATCAATCAGTATGACAGTGCAGAAAATGGGGTGCTGGGAACTCCAAGTCCCCGAGGGCGAGTCTGGCAGTCGAACCTTCTCAAACCATTGCATGGCATTGTCGGGCAAATTGTATTTCTTGGCATGAGCAAGGATATCCTGGGCCAATGAGGGGAAAATGGCCTCGAAGGCGGCGCGGTCTGTGGTGGAAGCCATTCTGGGGGAGGAGGAGGAGCGAAGTGACGCGGTGGAGTAGAGGAGGAGAGATTGGAGGAGGGGGAAAGAAGAGAAGCAGAGGAGCGAGGGGAGGCGAAGAGGAGAACAATAATTCCATTCCCATAGAGGCAGTGATTGTTGTTGCGGCCTTAGGCCCCTCTATTTGCTCTATTTGCTCTGTTTGCTCTGTTTGCTCCGGTGGCATGCGGGTCCCCAATCGGGATTCTCCCGCTGCTCATACTTCCCTGGCCTGGCATCTTCCTTCTTTCGCTTCATCACCCTCTCTCCCCCTCACTCCCAGTCGGCCTCCTCGCAGAGCTGCATCTCCACCATGGCGGCTCAATTCACCGACGAAAATATCCAGGAACTCAAGTTCCGCCTGGAGGATGCCGCAATCAAATGCTCCGAGCGTTGTTTGTATCAATCCGCGAAATGGTACGCCCGCGGCTGATGGTCTTGTTTTGGTTTTCCTTGAGACGCCTCAACGAATTAACAGATGAGATGCGTTGCACTATCTAGGGCGGCGGAAATGCTAGACTCCATCCTTCCGATTAGTCAGTACGACACCGATCCCGAATCGCCGATGGATATCGCCGATGCGCCTGCAATTCCTCCGAATCCTTACCTCCGCACCCAGGACCCTGCCGAAGCTGCGCTGGAGGCTCAGGAATCCTACAAGTACCTCTTGGCAAAGTCATACTTCGACACGCGCGAATACGACCGATGCGCCGCCGTTTTCCTTCCCCCGACGATCCCTCCCGTGCCGCTGTCCACAACGTCCCCGAACAACCCTAAATCGAGAGAGTCGTTAACGCCGCAGAAGGGGAAATCGAAAGCGTCGCCGTACGCGGGGGTTAAGGAGAACAGCGCGACGCGTAACCCGTACCCCAAGCTCAGTCAGAAGGCCCTGTTCCTGTCATTATACGCGAAATACCTGGCCGGAGAGAAGCGCAAGGATGAGGAAACTGAAATGGTGCTCGGCCCCGCGGACGGCGGCACGACGGCCAATCGCGAACTACCGGATATCGCGCGAGGGTTGGAGGGATGGTTGACTGAACGTCGTGAGAAAGGACAGGGCGAGAGCAGCCAAGGGTGGCTGGAGTACCTCTACGGCGTCATTCTTCTCAAAGGACGGAACGAGGAGGAAGCGAAGAAATGGCTTATGAGAAGTGTTCATCTGAATCCATTCCACTGGGGAGCTTGGCAGGAGTTGAATGACCTGCTTGCCAGTCCGGAAGATGTACGGCCTTTGAAAAATGATATTAGTGATTGGATGGCTAACTTTGGACAGTTGAAACATGTCATTGATATCTCCCCGCAGAATATCATGACGCTCATCTTCCATGTGCATTGCAGCCAGGAGCTATACCAGGCCACAGAGGAAACATATCACGCCCTGTCGGAGCTCGAGACTATATTCCCTACCAGCGCGTTCTTAAAGACCCAGCGAGCCCTACTGTACTACCATTCAAAAGGTATTATCTCCATCACGCGCTGCGGAGCCATCATCACTAACAATACCTACCTGTAGACTTCGAAGAAGCATCGCACATTTTCACAGAAATACTCATCACCTCCCCCCACCGCCTCGACAGTCTCGATCACTATTCCAACATTCTATACGTCATGGGCGCGCGCCCCCAGCTTGCCTTCGTCGCGCAAGTCGCAACCGCTACAGACAAATTCCGACCCGAAACATGCTGTGTAGTCGGAAACTACTATTCTCTTAAGTCTGAGCACGAAAAAGCAGTCATGTACTTCCGTCGCGCCCTCACTTTAGACCGCAACTTCCTGTCCGCCTGGACCCTCATGGGCCACGAATACATCGAAATGAAAAACACACACGCCGCTATCGAATCCTACCGCCGAGCCGTCGACGTCAACCGCAAAGACTACCGTGCCTGGTACGGTCTCGGTCAAGCCTACGAAGTCCTCGACATGTCCTTCTATGCCTTATTCTACTACCAACGCGCCGCCGCGCTCCGACCCTACGACCCGAAGATGTGGCAAGCTGTCGGATCATGCTACGCCAAAATGGGCCGCATCGAGCAGAGCATCAAAGCTTTGAAACGCGCCCTCGTCGCAGGCTCATATTACGCTGAAGATACCGCCTCCAACGCCAGCGGCATGCCCGTAGCATCCAACCGGAAGATCCTCGACCCCGAAACTCTCCACCAAATCGCCACGCTCTACGAACGACTCGGCGACGAGGATGAAGCGGCCGCGTTCATGGAACTCACGCTGCAGCAAGAAACCGGCCAGATGCCCGTCGAAGAAGAGTCCGAGTCCTCGGAAAATGAGAATGACGACGAAAACGACGAGCAATCCGCCGCTGGCGAGCGCTCGGGCCGTCGTCGCGCAGGGCACGGCAATTCCATGGCTAGTCAAAATAATGAAGACGACGACACATGGCACGGGACTGGCGTTACGGCGACTACATCTAAAGCTAGACTATGGCTTGCGCGGTGGTCGTTACGGACTGGGGACCTTGAGCGCGCTGATCAACTAGCGAGCGAGTTGTGTCAGGACGGAGTTGAGGTCGAGGAGGCAAAGGCATTAATGAGGGATGTCAGGGCTAGACAGGAGGGGGATCAGTCTTGAGCTGACGGTCAGTCGGGCAGTTGTTTAGAGCGCTTTCTTTCGTGTTTTGTATCAGTATGGGCTAGCGAGGCGTTTTATTTATTGCTTCCGATGGCAGCGATAATTTGTTAAATGCATTTTCATGGTTATAGACATATTGAGAACGGCTTCCACCGTCATGATAAACAGTAGTATATCGTGTTACTACTCCATAGCTGTAAAGTTTGAGAGACTAGGGTACAAGGAACCAAGCATTTCGTCGATCCACAGCTCTACCTGGCATTTATGTGCCATTACCGATGTTCTAAACGAACAAACAAGCGATTCAGGAGACTCCAACCCCCCCTAGACAAAACACCTCCCTCCTATCGAATACCACAGAGATAGAGAACCTAGGTAGATCTCCTTCCATCCCATGAGGTGTAGTACCAGTTTCTTCCCCGGCACCGAAACTGACACCGTTCTCTGCGCCTGGGTCGTTAAGCTTCTGCCCTGACCGTGTTTGAGCTGCATTTGGCATCGGCGTGCAGGGAATTTCTGAACACGATGGAACTCCATCCGAATAACCTTGCTTTCTCGTCGCTCTATTCTTCTCTTCAATTATCCGGTTCGTGTCAGGAAAACTGACTGTGTTCGTATCCCATTTCACACACGCGTAGAAATACTCCCGCGCGATATCCGACCATGTTTCCTGAAGATTGAATCTGATATCATCCGCTGGGGCGGGTATTTCGAGAAACGCCGAGTCGAAGATTAAGATCTTGCCCGGTGGAGAGTGGGCATGGAGGTGTTGGCGATGGAGGGTTCTGCTGAGTGTGAACAGGAACAGACCCAGGGGTGTTTGTTGGGTGTTTAGGAGAATGAGGCCTAGAGATGACATGGATTGAAGGGTTTGGAGGAATATCGCTAGGGAAGAGATTGTGGGGAGTGTGGTGGCGAGGATGTTTTCGTCGTTGTTCTTGCTGGCGTTGGAGTATATTGGGATGGTGGATAAGGGGTTTTTGGGGTGAGTCTGAGTCTTGGAGGCGTGAGGGGCGCTGGGAATTGTCTCGGACTTGGTTACTTGGTTTCCTGTTGTTTTTGGTTCTTTGCTCTGTGATTTGAACTCGTTCGAGTGGTCGAGATTTTCAGGATACTCAGTGTGCCGTAAAGGTAGAGTGGTGGGTTTGGGATCCATGTTTGATGTCGATATAGCTGTAGAGTCTTTGCGTTGGCGAGAGCTTTGGTTTGGAATATTCTCAGAGCTAGTCAGCAAGTGTCCAGCGGGATCAGATACATTAGACCGTGGACTGGATGACCTCGAGGCGTCGACATAGATCGGAATCTGGGTTGTACCTGAACGATATGCCCCGCCAGATTGTCCAGGGTTACACACAGTCGCAGACGCGGACGAAGTTGGCGGAGACGAGGCAGTTGTCGAGACCACGCTTTGCGATCGATCAATTATGTACTTGGATGACCCCTCGCCCAGCTTCAATCGTTTCGACCACTGCTGTTCCTGCGCCAGCTCCTCGGAGGGGATTGCTCGAGCTTCGTCCGCTAGAAGCTGCAGTTCTGTGAAAGAGGCTGCTTCCTCGAAAGAGCGATCCGAGTGAATCTTCAGGATTCTGGGGAACCGAAGAGTGAAATATCTGGCACTGGAAGGCTTTTCGAACCCACCGCCTAGCATTTCGACGACAAATGGCTTCTTATATACGGTAGTCATACCCGGCAGACCACCATGTTCGATTTCTATATCAAACCCGTGATCATCTGAGTCAGTTGCGCAGGCACTGAACTCCCCAACTTGATTGAGGATTTGCATGTTTTGCGGACTGATGCCATTCCGGTCGACCACGTCAATCACTCGAAACCTCGGCTTGACATTGGATTGCAGAACACTGTCTTTGTTGACAAGACATCCAATGAAGAAATGTGTCCACAGTATCTTTTTATGGCGCTCTCTGAGTGCGACGGCATCTCGAGCATTGTACGACCCCCCAATGATCGTCAAGTCGACTGTATCGCCGAGCCCTGGAATGTAATCTTTCTTCAGCTTAATCCATCGGCCAAAGGAGCCGTTCGCTCCCCCAGTAAAGGTGAAGTAAGGATCCTCGCAGCCTTTCAGGACGAATCCCTCCCATCGCTCGGCGATGCCTTTGTCAAGAAGCGCTTCAAGTCGAGACTGACTGCCAGGATGTGAAAAATCCAGGACACGTTGGTCGGCTATATCAGCGCGGCCATTGATGAGTTTGACCAGGCTTTTGAGAAGCAGTCTTCTCTCTCGATGGGGTTTTCGCAGGCAAACATCGTCGTCAAGTAGTAGGACGTCAAAGAAGACAATCATCAGATGCTCATCAGGGTGCGGTCTTCTGGGGTTAGAATAGGTATGTTAAAACGACTGGAGCGAGGTAACTCACTGCGAATCATTTTCCGTGCCGATGAAAGTGCCAGATCGCGAGATATATTTACGCAGCTTATGAAAATCCATGATTCTACGGCGCACATCATTCCATACAACCAGCTCACCTTCCAGAATACACCGTCGCGAGAACTTGCAGTCCGGCATTTTCATTCTGAGGGACTCTTTGAGAACGTCCTGAATGCCAGCCCTGTCTTCCGTGGAATCCTTCCCACTCTTGGAGAAGATTTGGATGGAGTCGTGTGGCTTTGAGAGGTCGATATGAATCTGACAATATTCCCCATCATACTTCTTCTCTATACTCATCCGTCGACCATCAATCATCTGACAGCAGTGTTTAATACTGCGAGCTTTATAGTAATCCGGCCGTCCAATCTTAACCCCCGTCATCGGATACAGATGGTCCAGGGCTCTCGCGCCCAAATCCTGCGCCTGGCACGGTTCCGGATGCGCAGGGAAATACACCAACGGCTCCGTCCTCAGCATGCTCAACGCAGCCTCGAACGAGTTCTGAAACAGAAGCAGCCGCGGCAATAGGAAGTGAAGACTCCTCAGCGCTATTCCCTCAGGGACCACAACCGGATAGTAACACTTCAGTATCATGCGCGTCAGCCACTTCGCGTCCCGACTTCCCAGCCGGCGATAGATCGGGGACAGCGTCTCCTCGACACCCACAGCCGTTCGCTGTCGTCGCACCCTCGGGCCCGAGAACTTGCTCCGCGACGCGATCTGCGTTAACACGGCGTCAATATCCTCCACTGTGACTTCCTGTCCGTTGAGAATTTGGTTCTCAGCTTGCTTCATCACGTTTTCCACGCATTGCCCGAGATCCGCGCCCCCTTTTACTCGCCATTTTTCGAGCTCTTGGCGACGAGAGGACCCGAGGAGCAGACATCGTCCGATTACTCGCGACAGGGAGATATCCTGTAGCATGTATACCCTGTCGGTCCGCTTCTCGGGAAATAAACATGATAGGACGGCGAGCTGGTCTGTGTCTGCCTGGCGGAGCCGCTTGGCATGTTGTCTGAACCATAGACTGACGACGCGGGCATCTGGATCTGTGGATCGGGATTGGGTGGCGGCTTTAGTGATTCGATTGCTCTCGAGCGATGAGAGCAAATCGCACAGATGCTGAAATTGGAAACCCATATATACTGTTTTGAAATTGTTGGAGACCCAGGGTTTTGCTATGATAACTTCATTCTGGCGTCGTTTTGTTTATATATCACGAGGACTTCGCTCTCGCTTCTAACAAGAATTACAGATGATGGAAAGCACTTGAACGCAAAAGGATCGTAGGATGTGTGATTCAGGACACGATGCCGTCGGGACTCACGCGAGACTGCGTCCATGGATCGCGAGACCACGTGATCTGAACCAGACTAAAGCAAACATCACTCAATGAGGTAATGTAGTTGACACGATCCAGTATTGCTAGTGATAATAGCAGCTTATGATAGCATACATGAGACACACGGCAACGTCGTCCGTGCGCTGGCACTGTGATAGATTGAAGATTCCCAAAGAACGTAACCCCGTAGAAATGAGCAACACCACCAAAAACTCCGAGCTTTTAAACGTGAAATATATGGTATGAGAAGGAAAAGAGGGTGGATCATGGAGGGCATAAAGCGGCGTTTACAAGATACCCTGCTTTTGAAGACTGGTGATCTGTTAGTATTCTGTCCATAAGTCAATTGAGGGCAAGGGGAAACGTACTCAAGATAGATCCTCTCCGGCATCACGTTGCCCTCTGCATCCTCCATCTGCACCACGTTATCTTTGTGCTCTCGGTCCTTCTTGCGATCCTGCTCGAGCTTCTCCCACAGCCGAATGGCGTCTTCGATCCGGGTGATTTCACGGAAGAGGTTGGTGTTCGACGTGATTCCTAGGCACTTCAGACCGAAGATGTGCAGAGCCTCCGAGAAATGCTTGTCAAAAGCACGACGACCCATGTATACGAAGTTTCCGCAAATCTCACAGGGGTACTCAACACCCAGCCCGTGCAGTTTGTAAAGCCAGTAGGGAATCGGCTTGCCGTCCCAGGCCAGAGGAAGCTTGAGAGGATTGTAAATGCGATCATCTCCCTCGTCATCAGATTGATCACCTCCTTGAGCATCGCCCACGTTTTCAGATTCAGCAAGCAACGCCTCCAGTTCGAACTGGCGCTCTCGCTCCGTCATACCCTGCTTCCGCTCCACATTGATCCGAGTAGCTTGGCGCTCGCCGCTCAGGGCTTGTGCCAGCAACCGAACGCGGTGCTCACGCTCCGCGACAGCGCGCTCTTTCAAGCGATGGGTCACAGAGTTTGCACCTCCGACCGAAGCGGCCGGCCGGTCGCCAAAATCACCAGCAGCCTTGCGGGCCTCGGCAGCGCGGACGTGCTTCTTGCCAGTCAAATGGTTCTTGTAGACGTTCTCGTTCTTGAACTCCTTTTCGCAGTCGGCGCACCAGATACCTTCCCCGGTTCCTTCGGTCTTGGGGCCTTGAGTCCCGTCTTCGGCTTTCTCCTCCGTCCACCCGGGGACTTCATTCGCGCTCCACTGCTGCTCGAACTGCTCATCAAAGCTGGCAAACAGCTTCCCGAGATCCTGCAAAGGCCGCACCTTCTTAATGAACTCCTCCAGGTAGTTGGCCAGCTCCCCCGCATACCGGAAATACGTATCCGACAGCTTATTAGTCCGCTTGATCGTCAACTGCGGTGGCGTAAAGGCATCGAACACATCGAGGTATTGCACGTACGTCAACCTCTTCACCCCAGGCAAGTTGAGGTACTGTTCATGCAACATCGTCAGATCCAAGAACTGTCCGTAGCCTTCTTCGCCCGTAAACATGTGATCGATATCCAAGCCCAGCGGCTCGCCTTCGCCAGGCTGGCGGCGCTTGTATGCCCGCTCCAGGTTCTCAACCGGCTCGTTAGGATAACGGCGGTGGAAATCTTTGATCTCATCTAGCTGCTTGTAGAACTCCTCGAACTGCTCACCGGTCGAGATCGATTGGATTTCCTTCTCGCGCGCACCGTCCGCATCTTTGTAGATATCGAGGAGCCGGTTCGACTGTTCGTCAATGCGGGTGAGGAAATGGGAGATTTCGTGATCGCGCACTAGGCGATCGCGAATCTAAACGTAGAAAATGACAGTTAGCTCTCTGTTCCTGTGAAGGTATGCATTTGGGGGATTTTCTTGGTGAAACTCACGTTGCGAGGTTCATCCCCGACGCGGTCGGCAACAGCTTGCTCTAACCGTTCCAAATCCTCATGAATGAATCGCTGATCTTCGAGAACCATCGTGAAACAAGGACGCACACGAACGACGTAACGGCCCTTGGTGTAAATGGTGGTGCTGGAACGTTGGACCGGGAAGTCGCCGCCGCTGCTCGAGAGAGCTTTGCGGGCAAGAGGTCTCCATCACGTGATCGCGGGCGGTGGCACTCGAAAAGTCGCGCCGGAGAACGGGTTTCACAACCACTACTGACGACTTCATTCACCACTCACGATTGCCTGAATTGTGGGATTTTGTCATTTGAAAAGTCTGAGGCATCCGGTGTATTCAAAATGGCGGACGGTATCGATCGACGAGCTGATGGTATGAACTGGATCACCCCAGATTTGGCACAAAGAGATCGAGCTTGAGTAACTGACAGCGCAAATTTAGACCGCATGGAGTTCAACACCTCTAAGGAGGTGACGGTCGCTCCGACCTTCGAGGATATGCACTTGAAGGAGAGCCTCCTCCGTGGTATTTACGCATACGGTTACGAGTCTCCCTCCGCGGTGCAGTCGCGTGCGATTGTCCAGATCTGTAAAGGTCGCGACACCATTGCCCAGGCGCAATCTGGTACCGGTAAGACGGCGACGTTCGCGATCAGTATTCTGCAGGTTATCGACACCGTTGTCCGAGAGAGTCAAGGTACGTGGATCGAATGTTCCTATAAACCCAGCGGTGATGGTGGTGGGGTTGGGGTTTTCAGCAACTCATTGTCGACTTAGCGCTCGTCCTCTCGCCCACTCGCGAACTTGCGACTCAAATCCAGTCCGTCATCATGGCCCTCGGCGACTACATGAACGTGCAGTGCCACGCCTGTATCGGAGGCACGAACATTGGTGAAGACATCCGGAAGTTAGATTATGGGCAGCATGTTGTCTCGGGTACCCCCGGTCGAGTCGCGGACATGATCCGCCGACGCCACCTGCGCACTCGCAACATCAAGATGCTCGTTCTCGATGAGGCCGACGAGCTCCTAAACCGCGGATTCCGCGAACAGATCTACGATGTCTACCGCTATCTGCCGCCCGCTACGCAGGTCGTCGTGGTCTCCGCTACCCTGCCGTACGACGTGCTCGACATGACCACGAAATTCATGACCGACCCGGTCCGCGTCCTGGTTAAGCGTGACGAATTGACTCTCGAGGGTATCAAGCAGTACTTCATTGCTGTGGAGAAGGAGGAATGGAAATTCGACACTCTCTGCGATCTCTACGATACTTTGACTATCACCCAGGCCGTTATCTTCTGCAACACCCGGAGGAAGGTCGACTGGTTGACGGATAAGATGCGCGAGGCCAACTTTACCGTCTCCAGTATGCACGGCGAGATGCCGCAGAAGGAGCGTGACAGCATCATGCAGGACTTCCGTCAGGGTAACTCACGTGTGTTGATCTCTACGGACGTCTGGGCGCGTGGTATCGATGTGCAGCAGGTGTCGTTGGTCATTAACTACGACCTGCCCACGAACCGTGAGAACTACATCCACCGTATCGGTCGGAGTGGTCGTTTCGGAAGAAAGGGTGTTGCCATCAACTTCGTCACTAGCGACGACGTGCGCATCCTTCGTGACATTGAACTGTACTACTCTACGCAGATCGACGAGATGCCTATGAACGGTACGTCTAACATGCCTATCCGCAAAAGGAAAAGAAAAAAGCAAGCAAGAAAGAGAAAACTAACAACCCTTTGCAGTCGCCGACCTTCTCTCCTAATCAACGCTCACGGCTCAAAACACCTTGGACCCTCGAATAAGTCCTGGCATGCTTCTGGATGAAACCGAAAATCAAACCCTACCTAGCTCTACAAAATACCATCCCTCCTCGACCCACCCAGGCCAACAAACCAAAGAGCTAGACAGGTAGCCACTAGATACCTTTACCCACCTTATGATCTCAAGGCCCCCATAAAAAGAAAAAGAAAAGGAAAAAGGAAGGAACCAAACCAGCGTGGAGGAAACGGGAAATGAACAAAAATAGTGAGCCGCCCTACCATTTCCACTTCACCAATCCTCAAACAACACTTCCATCTTTTCCAAATCCAGTTTCACCCAAGCTAAGGCTATCTCAGACGAAAATCAAGGAATGAAAAAGCAGTCAGCTGCTAGGTGATTTGGATTCCGTTTTGCAATTTTTCTTCACTTATCTCGTGTTCTATTTGTCTGTTTTACGGCGTTCAGTTGAGTTGGGGTTTTATTTTAATTGATTGATTGCTTTCCGAATCCGAATCCGAGTCAAATTCAATTCTTATTTATTTTATCTTGCTTGGCAGTGTTAACTATGAATACATGAATCTTTTATAAAAATCACTGTTTATTTTGAAAAGAAGTGAAAGCCGACATAGTTACGCAACTACGCTGTACAACTTGCGGAAACTGATTATATATATGAAAAGCAGTCCATAAATCAATGACGTTTCCGATGCCGAGTCTACAACTAGCAACCTGAGTAAGGACAGATTGACGATCTTAACAAAAAGACAAATCAGGAGTGAATGGGCACGAGAAGAAAGAGAGAACAGAATACCAAATTCACTCCGCCTGACCTTTCCGAGGAAGTTAACCCTGAACCATATCACCCAAAACCAGACACATCAAAAAAAAAAAATAAATAAATAAAAAATAACAAGGGGACGAGGGATTGCGGAGAAAGAGGTAGTTGTAGATGATGGTTAAGAGGGCAGAAAGAGGGGGAGAGGGAAAATGGAAACAAATGTATGATAGCGCCCATGTCGCGGCCATGCTGGATAAAGGGGATTAATGCTCGGTACACATGAATGTAGAACAAATATCAATTTGCGATACCAAAACGGTGGCGCCTGCTACCTGTATCGACGATCCCTGATAGACCAGGGAAATGAAACAATGTGTATATGCAGAACTGTTCAGGGTAAAAGAGAGAGAAATAGGAGATGGAAAATAGAAAAAAAAAGGTAACAGCGAAGGCAACAAGCAATGGGTCTTGGACTCCAAAAAAGCTCCAGGTATATTCCCATGAGATAGAGATGAGATTACCGGCCGAAAACAAAAAAAGTTCGCATACTGTAAGACAGGAGATGGGTCTCATTAAGGGGTGAATGTTGAACGTAAAGCACTTGTTCGCGCAAATCCACTGGTCGATACAGCTCGGTTTTTGCCCATCAAGGCATTAGGATGAGTATCACGTTCTCGGGTCCAGCTGCGGTGTGTTAATTGCTGCTGCCTATCCAGTGAACAAGGGACAAAGAACTTACATTCGGACCAGGCAATCGTCACCGGCCGTAGCAAACATGCCGGGATTTGTGGGGTTCCATGATATCGCATTGACACATCCCGAGATATGCCCCTCCAGGGTTTCCACAACCGTTCCGTTTTCTCTGTGCCAAATATAAACACGCGAGTCTGGATCCGAGTCAGCAACAATCAAGACTCCCGAGGGTCTCCGGTGTAACTTGCCTTCGCTCCCGCTGACCACAAAGTTCTCCACCGCTCCTCCAAAGGCGCTTCGGATAACAAAAGAACCCTGCTTCTGTCCTTGGAACCGTCGGATTACGTTGGTGGTGTCAATATCGATGAGCTGTATTTGGCCCTCTGACAGGTTCACCAGCATTTGGCGCGAGTCTTTGCTGACGGCAACAGACGTAGGCTTGCTCTTCAAGGGGAGACAATATTCCTCTTCGTGAGTCACGAAATTGTAAACGTGGATCTTTTCTTCGACATCTGCCGCCAACAATCGTCGACCGTCAGGGGTGATGACACAGTCTTGAACACGGAACCCGCCCGGCCACATGTAGATAGCATGGCCGCGTAAGCTCCAATGACATAGTTGCGAGCCCAAGTCGAGCGAAGCCGTCACAAAGGACTCTCCGTCGGCAGCCCAAGCCGCGGCTGTCACTGGTTGGCGATGATGATTGATGGTCAAGAGGCAGCGGCCCGTCTACAGCAAATAGTAAGCAACGGGTGATCACACGAGACAAAGAGAAAAAAAAAAAAAAAAAAAAAAAAAAAAAAAAAAAAAAAAAAAACAACAAACTTCCAAACCCGGTCTTTTTTTTAAGGGGAGGAGGTGATGTGTTTGTTATAATGCGGACTCCAG